TTTTCTAAAGTAGTTGAAATACAATCAAGATCAAATTGAACTATTTTATTTAATACAGTTGAATATCTTGACCATATGCTCTCTAACAGAGCATTTTGAATCTATCATGGGAAATATTTAGAAACACGTTAAATGCATGCAAATGTATTTTACTCAACCTTAATTCTAATGGTTATTCATAAAAGCTGTAGAAAAACTCACCATAAATACTACATGAAGCCGTATGGACCGCGGCAAAGTAGTGACGCTAGTACTTATCTTTGTACAAATTTACCTTATAACTATCAAGTTAAGTCACAAATCTGCTTAATTTTGATTGGACAGTTGTCCTACGTACATTCTTATTCTAATAATTAGCCCAATGAACAGCCAGGAAAAAATAAGGTGACAAGCTCAATCAATTAAGTAATTTAGTTGATGATGCACACTCTCACACCTGCTAGACGGAAGTGTAGCTTAAGTGATTGCCTGACTGGCTGACTCACATGATATGTATGTAATATATACATATATTTATATATAAAGGTTGGAAGACTAGGATTACTGACTCACTACATGCTGATATATATATATATAATGACTCATCGTACAAAGACAATTACTCATGATTTTCCCTGTTGGTAAGATGTAGGAAACAGTCATCATGATAAGCCAGTCGTTCGATTGAGTGAGCAAAAAAATTTGTCAAATATTAAATATACATCTTCTTGTTTAAAAGTTTAAAATACAACACACTGTCCATTTGAATATTTTGGTTGTCCTAGTGACATACTTTGTAACCAAATATAGATATTATTTGGAATGAATCATCTGATTAATGAATAAAAATGAATTTTGATTTCACTTTTGTCAACATTTTCAAGCCAGAAAGAAATTTTAAAGAATTCACATTTCCAAGTACCATTTCATAACAGTTCGATTTAATATACATTTTGGGGTATTGAAGTTCTGTAATTTGAATTTACAGCTTCTAAAGTCTAACATACTGTTGTTAAACTGATAGATAACAACAGTTTTCCTAATCTATACTAATCCCAACACTTGTTAACTTGATTTCATAGTCGAGTTGTGGGTTTCTAGACCTTTGTACAACTTTTTTATGTAGTGAGATTTGAGCATAACAGGACTGGTGATTTATGATAGTTACTAAATCTTTGTTTAATAGTCCGTCTTCTGTTATAATTGAACACAAAAATGAGCTATGTGTATAACTAATATTTAAGAACGACCAGTTTTTATTTTTCTACGGCCACTAAGCCTTGGTTAGTTGTACTATTTATGTATATGATATATTTTATGGGAAGAAAATATTCACAACTAATGGAAATCTTTAATCCTATTGAAGAATTTTTGATACCGTCAAACTATTTTAATTTTTAGTAGTATGAAGAGAAAAAATGAAACGTTATCCAGCTTCAGTAGTTATTTTTGGCACCTCAACTATGTCAATGATCAAATTTATGGAAATTTTTCTTAAGAAATCATACTTGATATGAATATCTTTCAGGGTAACGTTGGTGGTATTTTATTTATCCAAATCTGTCTTTTTTACCTATTTCTTTAAGAAATAAAATCAAATACGGTGTATGTAGAAGTTTGAAGATGCCCTTTGAAAGGACCTAGGAAACGGGTCCTAGGTAAGGGTGGCAGATTAACAGATGAAGTTTTGAAAATTCATCAGTTGAGGTGGTTGGGACATGTTTTGCGTATGCCTAACCACCGACTGCCTCGAAGAGCTTTGTTTTGTGATGTAGGAGTAGGTTGGAAGAAAGTTAGGGGCGGCCAAACCAAAACATGGCAGAAATCCATGAAGTCATTGACGAGTGGACTTAGCCATGTTGGTAGGTGTCGACCACCTGGTTGGGGTTAATGAGATGATAGTAATCGATAGTTAGAGACCTTGAATGACATGGCTCAAAACCGTTTGCGATGGCGCAGGTGCATCAACTCTTTGTGTTCTCTAAAGTTCTAATCTTCGGAGTTCATTATCACATTCATCTTTTTTCTTTTTAAGTTTCTTTCACTAGATTCTACTTCTTGAATAATATCGTCAAACCCTAACCTCTCCGACTACTGCTAATACTTCTACTACCTCTACTACTATGGGATTTTTCTTGGACAACTGCATCCATATATATATATATATATATATATATATATATATATATATATATACATCCAGTTTACACTTGTGCATACATAGTTGTGATTATGTATTCTAAAAAAGCCTACCATGATATTGCCAATGTAATACGCTGGATGCATTAAAATGAAACTGTACAGAAATAATACTATGCAACTAGTATTTGTTATTGACTTTTTCATCAGATTTATTTCACAGTTTCGAGTCAGGAAAATAATCTAATTTATGCAATTCTATGGATGAAAAACTGTCAACTGTAAATAAAGAAGATTCATTTCAGCGATTGTTTTGAATCAATACAAGAAATCAATACAATTAAATGAACAGTATCTGAAAAAAAAACAAATAAATTCAGTGAATAAAATCAAACTGTTTTTTCTTTTTAATTACTGATCCAATGTGGAACTGGTTCTCAGCAAAATATAAGCTACTGAAGATCATAATAGTGAAAATGACGTTTAATCAGTTTTCATATTTGTTCACGCTGATTAGAGTAATTTGGAGACTAAATAACTTTTCTAAATGCGTTCAAAATGAGGGCAAGTTTAATAGCTGGGGGTTTTGGTATACCTGAGTACAATAAGCTTATTTAGACGAACCCGAATCTGTACACTTTACATGTTGAATACCTGAAATTTTCTTTGAATAAATTGGATGTTAATGACCAGGAAAAATTCCACTGCTATTATAAAACATTCATCATTTGAAGGTTGTTTATTTGTAAATGATTACTACTACTATTACAATAAATCGAATAAAAATGTATTTTTGTGTGTAGTACGAAAGTGCAGCTATCTAAAAGCATCATAAAATTTATTTGTTACACCATTTCTTAATTCAGGAATTTGGAATCCAGCGAAGTATGAACTGGTGATGTGACAAAGCAAAAACTATATTTATCAAGTGATTTTAACCCTAGACAACCTAAAAACTCATGTGAAACTATACAGAAAACTTTCATTTGCAATTATCTATATAGGAATGTGTAAAACGAGGTCATATTTTACCAGGTATCAGATTTTACATTCATGCACTGAAATCAGACTATGAAAAATAACACTAAATAAATCATAATTAACACGCAGCCTGGAACAAGTAAGATTTAGTCTTAAAATATCCATAACAATGAGTTTAAACAATAATATTGTCATAAATAATGAAAAGAAATAAACAATAGAGAAACATTTGGAAGAGAATGAATAAAAGTACATATGTTTGATGGGAAACTGAAACTGAAAGATATAGAGGAAGGCAGATAGTGAATGCAACTGGACCATCTCGACAAATTCATAACTATGCCTCCCAAAGTCTTCAAGTACCTATAACCGTTATCGTATGGGGTATATCAGACAACCAGGCTTAGTTCAACAGTAAATGTCTTCACGAACTGATATCGCGTATTGGTTAAGCCATCCTTAACTTCTTTCCTAAGCCAACTAGCACTGAGCCTCATAGCAAGCTATAGCTGGAGACAACATAATACGTTCTGCGAAAAATCGGTCTCAAAACCCAAAAACTTGAGTGGTAGAAATGTGAAACTGAATTTATTTCTAATGACAGCTTGATACAGTAGTAACTATAAGTACACCCGAATTGTAACAACAGGAAATTTTAGATCACACCATAAAAAGGTCTATAGAATGTTGAAAAGAAAAGCAAATTTATGTTAATTTCCAGAGCAAATTCCAGGATTATGTTCATTAACAAATACTAAAAAAAACCGGAGTTTTTAACCAATTAACATATTAACGGTGGTTTCCTGACGAAAGTCGAATTTCATAAATTACATATGACCACTAAATGTTTACTACTAAGATTTAATCACGTGTGAAAACAATTTCACGTGAAAGATAAATAATAAATGCACACTTATTAAAACCCTTACGGTTGTGTTAAATCACTAATTATAACAAATTAATCTGAACCACACAAATGAATGGATTCTTTATTTCAGTTTACTTCAGTCTAACAGTCCACTTACCTTTCAACTTATTAGATCAACCTTAATAATTTAACTGAACCTAGTCAAAATAATTCCAGAAATTGTCAGTGAATGACTAATCTATCAACTGCAGAAGTAGTTTCTCGAATGATAGTTCAGCTAAGAGAAAAGTGTTGTTATATGATTTCTTCACACTTCGAAATTCTTTGAAGTAGATAGAATATCATTTCCCATTTTATTTGAAGTAAACACAGTCAAATACAATTTAGTTTATTTTCTGATTGATTACTGATTTGAGGTTAAGCAAATCAGTGTAAACTTGGGACTCTACATATAGAAACCTGAATAAAAGTCTTGGTTGAATATGTTTAGCTAAACAGATTTGAATATACTTGCGTTTATGGAAAAACAAACTAGGGCATTTAAGAACAAATCACGTGTTAAACATCGTATCTATCATCAGTGTTTGGACCTATTGATACTGTATCTATTTTACCGCTGCGTTAGTCATTGATGAAAGAAATCTAAGCCGAATTCAAATATAAATCGCTTCTAGAATAATGGGCAGATAGAACCAAACCATAATAATAGCGCTTTAGTCAAATCAGTAACACTTATTCAATAAAAAGGTATTCATCGAGTTACAAATAACAGGCTAGTGATTTATACCAGACTAGACAATGACAGACCTATTTTAACCTGCAGATACATTTTGGCTAACCTCTATTAAGACGTGCTATGTATTGAAAATGGCGTTTATGATTAAAAATACCTCTGAAGAGCAATAATTTATTGAACAAAATATATTATACTTAGTTAATATCAGGTGCAGGTTAATGATTCATTCTGAGCAAGAGTCAATACTGATATATAAAATAAGTCTTATTTAGAGAATTAACTTTTTTCATGACTTACTTGACGTTTTGTTTGCTGCTAGTTTATCCGTCTATGTCCATAATCGTAATTGGAACCTATGGATCCTTAGTCTAAATGCGTATCAATTTTCACAAATACAGGTTAAACAAATCAACCAATTATAACCTAGTGGCATATGATTGGTTGAATTGAAGGTCAGTCATGAAGAGAAGATTATAGCTATTGATAAGAGTCACTTATGCTTGTCTAATCGTATCATTTGCGATATTTATTGAGAATAACTTTTTAAAACGTACGCCAATATTGAATGAATTTCTCTCCCTTAAATTGTGTATCGATCGTGTCTATGCATTTGTAAGAAAATGATCAATTAACTATCAGTTCACAATTTATTCTTTGCTTTAGTACAGAAAGTATTTTCAATTTAAGGTACTAATTTATTTCCTTCCCACTAATTGCATAATTTAGGCCACGAAAAACGTTTTAAAATAACATTAATAAAAATTTAATTTGAACAGTACTTCCTTTAGTGTTCATGTTACTGTTAATTGTATAACTCTAGTGATAGAAATTGGAAAAAAGCAATCTTATCAAACCAGACTTTATGTAAAGATATTGCAATAAGTTCGTAATATTTAGGTCATATATTACTTCATCTTTTGATGATTATTTTGTTGAATAACACTTAAATGAAAGAAGTTATTGGCGTTTACATAAAGTGTCAGTGAAAAGTAACAACTGAAGTACACACAAAATGTTGGGTAGTCATAAGAAATGAACTAATGGATATTTTCAACCGTATTCTTTTCCAAATAGTTGCTAAAGTAAGTTTCATGAACTGTTCTTCAAGTGAATGACGCGTCATCACAAAGTCTCTCTATTTGTTTTCTTCTTAAATCTTCTTTTCATACCGTTTATTGATTACTTAAAAGAATTAATTAAAAAACCTTAATGACACAATGAGATAAATATTTAGATTTTCCACCTGTTCAGTGTATATTTGACAGAGTGGTTTTGTTTCAACAGTCAGCTTGTTTATTCTGCTTAAACCACAGTAGTCTGAGAGGTGAGAAAAAGTAGATCAAGAAATCAATGTCCTAGTGAAATATTTCGCAATGAGTCCAGTGTTATGACGAATACCGTGCATTCTAGTACTTCTTTCTGCGAGATAATTACACTTGGGCTAAATTTGTAAGCTAAATAGACCCATGAAAAGTGTCTACTGGAGTGAATAAGATAATCATTAGGACAGTTTAAAGCGAACATTTTGGAGTTGTTTTGAGATTTATGTTTTTGTCTTTGACTGATGACTTGATAATTAACAACTCGCCAGTAGTCAAGTTACTACGATTACATGTAAATGAAAATTTTCTGTCATTAATGTTCATTTAAATGTTAAGTGGTTTTGTTTATTGAAGTCTTTTTGGTTGTGATTTGTCAGCGAAATTTTTCAAGCTTAACATCTATGTCATTTTAAGTATGGGTATGATTTTGAAAAAGTGAAATATAATTACCAGTGAAGAGCATACACTGAAAGCGACTCGTTAGTAGGGACAATTGAGACAGACATGTTGAAAAATTTTTTTTTTCATGCATTAAAATGTTATTCTTTATTGACCATATATCCAATAATTCAGCCATACTATGTGATTGAAGATCAAGTTGCCTGATCAGCGATTTCGTCAGCTAAGATCAGCTAAACAAGAAGTTTTTGGTTGTTTTCATGCAAACGTTACAAGATGATTTTATAAAAGTATTACATTTAACAGACTCATCCCAAGTAAAGACCGATGTCAGGCAACGTTGCATACTTTCACTAATTCTTCTTCTCCTTGTGGCTAAATGGATTATGAATACATCAACACATCAGGAGAAACACGGTATGAAGTGGACAGCTCGAATGCAGCTAGATGCTTTGGACTTCTCAGATGATCGCGTAGTAGCGGCCTTAGCATATCAGGTCTCGACATAGACAAAGGAAAAAGTAAGGTCCTCCGATACGGTGCGACATGTACTAACTACGTAACACTTGATGCAGAAGCTTTGGAGGATCTAGAAACTTTTAGATACTTGGACAGCGTCACTGACGAGCAAGGTGGATTTGATGCCAATATGAACGCTCGGATTATTAAAGCAAGGGCGGTATTTCTACGAATGCAGGATATGTGAAAATCGAAATAACTACCAAACAACACCAAAGTCAAAACTTTCAATACAAACGTCAAGACAATTCTACTCTATGAGGCGGAAACTTTAAGAACCTTGGATAGCCATCATCTACAAGATATAGGTGTTTATTAATAGTTGGCTACGCAAAGTTCTGAGGATCCTTTGGTCAGACACCATTAACAACAACCGACTGTAGGAGAGAGCAAACCAGATTCCTCCATCTTGGTAAGGAATTAGGAAAGAACACTAAAGGTGGATAGGACACAAATTGGAGAAAGCACCCGACTGAGTCACAAGATAAGCCCTCACTTGGAAACCCTTAGGTCAAAAGAAAAGAAAAAGACCAACAGAACACATTACGCCGAGAAATGGAAGCAGACATGAAAATCACGAATAGCAATGGGATAGAAGTTGGAAAGTAGGTTGGGGAATGCTGGTTGGCAGCTTATGCTTCATTGAGGGTAACAGGTGTTAGTTAGTAACTATACCTAGCACCTTATTATTCTATAATGGATTTATTCTGTTAGCGAGTTTTTACCTTAAAATATATCCAGTCAGTTTTTTGGAGTCTTTACAGTTAGTTCTTTCTTATAGCTCATCGAATCAATTTTTCTATGAAGACAGTAACTAAATTAAGCAGCTAAATTATAAGAGATGTGAAAGTTTTTCGGTGTATATTATTTCTTATCACATTATTTCTTTTATAAACTATCTACACTTCAATGACTTTCCAATATATAATTTTCTAAAATTATTTTCTGTGGATAAAGTAAAAAAATGTCTTATCATATAATTATTACCTATCAGAACAGTACAACAATACTGTATTGGTATACAACAGAATTTCTGAAGAAAAAACGAAAAAAGCAGATTCTAGTTGAGTAAGAAATTAAGAAAAAGCACTAGAGGTAAGAAGAGGAAGACCAAAGAACACATCACGCTAAGATTCGGAGACAGACGTCAAAAGAACGAACAGTAATCGGATAGAACTGGAGAAGAAGGCCAAGGATAGAGTAGGTTAGAGAATGCTAATGGGTGGTTTATACTCCAATAGGGGTTCATGCGCAAGTAATTAAGTATGTTTTGAAAAACGAATTAAACATATATTATAGAAAAATAGTAAATAAATATAATTTTATCGGAAGATAAATATTTTGAATACTGTCATTAAACTTGATATAACGTTTAAACAAAAGTTTCAGTAATAAATTGTTTATCAAAATTTATCTCAGTAATATGATAGAGTTTAAAAGCAGTTACACAATTTTGTAATTTTGCATAGTTAAGATTTTATAGACGACATGTGCGCTAATTAGACCTATGACGATGAATACACTTAACTTGAACAATGGAAAGTTTGATTATACTTTTGACAGTAGCTAGCTTCGTATTCCATCTCAAAAGTACCAGTTACACAATTCTTTGTCAGTGTATGATGGGCAGTGTTTCACTAGTTTCGTGACGGTCGGTATCCAGCATGTTCTTAGACTTTGTAATTTGCTCGTCCAGACAACCGTTCCTAAATAGCACTTGATGGGCCATAAATCAGAAGGCAAATACAAAGTGTTGAATACGTTTCTTTGGAACATCACTAATAGACCACAAACAACATGCACACGGAGCGAAGGGCAAGCAAGCTAACGAGTGAGTGAACTGGAGAATGAATCAATAAAATTAAAACGTACATATATATACATGGGAAAATGGCTCTCATGGAAATATTTAAGAGGTTAACATTAGAGCGAGTAGGATAAATATTTGCGTATGCGGTAAGCAATGTTCAGTAGTACCAGATCATACAAATTAGACATTAGTAAAAGCCAATGGTACATACAGGTGGTTGTTATACAAATGACTTGGTTAAATAAGCTAATCAGAACGCTTAACCAAATTAAATATGAGCGAACTCGAATGCATGTGGAGGCACTACAAGTGCTAATGTTCATATCACAATTCAAGCTGAGCATAAATCATAAGTTCAATGAAATTTACATGCTTTGTGTTGCATACAAAGCTTCATTAAACTCAATTTATCCATACTTTCACTGAGTAGACTTATTCTTACATCTAAACCTTGAAAAGTATTAACATTTCATGAATAGTGAAGTATTTGATGGATGTTTATAACTGCTATTCAACATTCAATAAAAGTTCATAAAGAAAAATACCACTTTTTTTCACTGTGCACACGATCATTCAGGTTGCATGAAATTCGTGAAATTATTTCGATGCTATATTGAACAAATGAGGTGACTTTAAAAGAAGTTCATGCTTTTGTATGCATGAATCTATTTAATTTATTTATTATGCATGTCTATCAACAGGTCACTGAAATTATCAGTCATATGAATATTAAAATGTGATTGTTTTCTAAATTTATGTATAAATGATTTTAAAAAAATTGAATTGATCATTTTAATTTTTACAATTTATGTTTTACTTCATTGGTCTTGCTAATCAACTTCTTGTTTTGATTGAAGATTTTAATCTTGTAGCGGTAAATCATTCCTCGGAATAATAACATGTAAATATTTGATATTCGTGTTAACCAGTTAAGTTTTACTGAAAACAACACTAGCTGGAGGAGTTCGGTTCATTATCCGTAGAAGATGCTTCTGATATGACCTAAAATTCGTATACCACGATCCGTCTGAGTGTCCTTCTTATACATCTCAGTCAGTCATCCTCGACTTCTCCTATCGACTTCCAAATTGTTTTGTTATCAAACAATCGAAAAGCCGTATTGTCAAATCCTGGAGTATCTGACTATTCTTTAACCTGTACCTACTTGATAGGTATGTCTTGACTTCAAGTTCTAAGTCAAAGGTGTTGATTAACACATACTTGATATATATATATATATATATATATATATATATATATATATATATATATGTATATATATATATATATATGACTGGTCCAAACTA